TTTGAGGCTAACCCAGGCAAGAGAACACAGCCTGTTAACTGCATCCTTTGGCTTGTCTGCTGCCGTGTTCGTGGGGATTGCAGTCCGAGCAGGCAGCAGTCGTGGAATAAACTAACTTGCTAACTCCTAACTAAATATTGACCAGTATTTAGATAAGATGCAGAAGAAAATGGTCATCCAAAAGGAGATCTTTTGTTCTAATAACTAATAATGGATTTTTAAATGTACAATTTTAAAAAATACATATGGTCTGTCAAAGTCTGTGCATCTTGCACCCACCCATCTGGCACGAGGTCGTCTTTGACCTGCAGAATGCAGCAAAGCGCTTTGCCATCTTTCCCTGTAGCATTGTGAGTGGGCTTGTCCTTCCTTTGACAGTTCTTCTGATTCTGTCCCTCTGAGCACATATTCTGCCTCTGAGCCCTACAACTTCCGGTCTTTCTCTTCTAATAGGTGGGTGTCTTTTTCTTTCTTTTTTTTTTTTCCTTTTCTATAGCTTTCTGTTTTGTATTCTAATTTATACACTTTTCTTTCCAAAGGTTTCTTAGAGTGTCCCATAAGATGGCACACAATTACAGTTTGAACCACTTCAAGGGGCATTAGCATAATTACGTTATTTAACTATGAACACTTAAATAATTATAAAAGCTGGAGATGAGACAGAGTCCCTCGGCCCTCAGAACTCCCCAGGGAACGTGTCACAGTTGCTGTCTGCCTGTCTGTGTGACTGCCCTTCACTGTTGGCTGAATTAGGAGCTCTCTGCCAGAGCGGGGAACAGGAAACGGGGCCAGGGGGCAGGTTATATTTTGAACAATCGTCCAAAATCAATAGTTGGTCATTCTGATGGCCACTCCTATCTTAGAATAATGATAATGAATGTTCAATAAATGTTAGCTATTATGAGCTAGGTCCTATATTGTCCATAAAATTCGTGCTTTAAAGTATCACTTAACCCTTAAGAGGTAGGTTCTATTGCTAGCCCTTATTAACAGCAAGGAAACTGAGGCACAGAAAGTCTAAGTAACTTGGCCAGAGTCACTCAGCTGGTAAGTGGGGGAGTGGATTCAACCCCCAGCGGCCTGCTCCAGAGTAGGGTCCTAACCTTTCCGTGGTGCTACCTGCGAGTCTTTTGGGCAGTCTGTCACTCTCTCCTTACTGGGCTTGCCACACTCTTGCCGGGGGTTCTTTAGGCAAGTCCTTGTCACCAAGATGCTTTTGCCAGAGCCTGTGTTTGGGGAACCCCAGCCTGGGTGTCTGGCACGAAGCTGTGCCTGGTTTTAAAAGAAAGATGATAGGATCTGGACCTGGAGGACAGCTCTTTTATACCATGAAAATGACCAGTCCTTTTTATTAGTATCAGACCTTTCATCTAATAAATAGAAGAATCAATCTAGAACTATGACCATCAACCAGTTTTGCTTACATATAGTGTCAAAGAATTTTGAAGCTTGCCTCAAAGTTTTAGATAGACAGTCTAAAGTTTTTTTTTTATCTTAAGTTTAAACAGTTGTAAAGGATATAATTTGCCTATTGTATATATGCTTTATATTTTTGTCAACACCTCGGGGCTTCAGATTTAATTGATTTAATTATGGAGAACACTACATATGCCTAACTGACAAAGGCAGGCCTCAGTCAAATGAGGACTAATTTCTAACCTAATTTCTATTAGAAAAAGTCTGACTTGATGTTTCAGTTGAAATAAGCTCATGTGTGTCCCTGACAACCGCCCTAGTTCTGGGTCTGATTCTCAGGTAGGCGGGCAGGTAGACGAGATAAAGCATGAGGTCTTGCTCCTAGTCTGTCCCTGAAAAAAATAAAGCGTCGCCTTTTCCCTCCTCAGTATTTCTCAGGAATTCCCTCAGGAGTGATGCTCTCCCAGACGATTCCTTTGCTTGGCACCCTGGAGGTTTTACAGCACAAGGCAGTCCCCGAGCGCTGATTCAGTTTGCTTGAGAGTTTTTCTTTTGTTTCTAAAAGTGGAAGGCAGTTGTGGAGCGAGAGGCAGGGAAGGGGACCTGGGAGACCCTGGAGCAGCCCAGGCAGATCTATTTTAAGAAAGGGCAGATACGGAACTTGAGGATCTGAAAACCCGTCTCCTCTTCTTTCCGGAATGGCTTTGTATCCTTCCAGGAGTTGTGAACTGTGTTTGAATATCTTGAAACTGTAAGTTCTTTTCTAGGTCTAAAATTCTGGGATTGTTGTGCTCTTTTACACAATTTTTGTGGAATGAATCCAACATGACTCTTATACCCTCCAAGAACAATATCTACGTGCAAGTTAGGAGCTGTATGTTTGACTGGAATAAAAATATCTTGGCAACCTCATCTTCCCAGGAGAGTGTGTTAGTCCAAGGTGGTGATGCTGGACTTTGTGGTGACAGTCTCAGCCTCTAATGGGGCTTCTTTGGGCCCCAGGTCCCTCCCACTTGGTCTGCAAGAGTCACTACTACTTACAGTCCTGGGAGATGGGAACAGTAGAAACATATAAATTGCCCAGTTGAATATACACACAAATTTTGAAAAACAGCCACATGCTTGTGAATGAGATTGACTAGGATTTAACTGAGTAGTTTGTAAACTTTTAAAATCATTTGGCAGAAATTTGAATACTGTATCAATATTGTTTGAACCTAATGAATTTTCTGATGTTCACTTGCTGTGGTTTTCATGGGTCCGTGTGGCCACAGATTTGACTATTTAGTAGTTGACTACAATAGAATGGATTATAATAGAGTCCAACCAGTTAGTCATTAAAAAGAACCCCCCCCCCACACACACACAGTGAATTGTATGATCCAGTTAGTTTGGCTGAAATTGACAAGCAAAATTGGGCAGACTGTGAGGCATTGGAATTAATTGCTTAGCCATTAGAAAAACCAAAGGAGGGAAAAACGCATTATGCTTGTTTTATTTCTATAACGTCATTTAGGCACAATTTTAGCAAAGTGACCCTGTTAAAACATTCTTCAGGATGTCCACTTGTGATCGGAAGGGGGTCAGTTTAGCTGCTGGGGTAGGACGACAAGCTGATTGTCCAGGTGGCTCCTGGAGCAGAGGGGGCAGCACTGGGGCCTTGTCACTTTCCTTTCCCTGGTCACGGTGCTTGCTGTCTAGTTTCTCTTCCTCTTTGCTCATCAGTGCTTCTTCCCTTCTCTCTTTCTTCCTTTCTTTGTATATTCCTTTCATCCTTCGCTTTTCTACCTTCCACGTGGCTCCCTGTGGTTTGGGAGCCCTCTTGAAAGATCAAACCAATCACTTGGAGAAGCAATTAACCTGTTGGACAAATAGAGTGTTAGGTTTTTAAAGGGAAGAGAAAATGAGCACCCTGAAACCAACTCCCACGAAGACAGTGTGTTAATAGAGAAGGATGATGGAGTAAAATGCTGTGGTCTGAGTCTCCGTCCACTCAGCGGAGTGCCTGGCACTGAGCACGAGCCTGATATGTGAAACCAAATAGGAGTGACAGCCACTCTGACTGCAGTGAGCAGCACAGGATAGATCTGGGCAATATAAATATTTTATTTTCCATTATAATAAATTCATTATTGAAAACTGAAATTTCATCTTTGTATTCCAACTTTTTAAAAAATGGCCCATTTTTGTACTTCCTACACATAGTTTTTGACCTTTGAAAATATTTTTGCAGTTATAATCAAGCTATGTATAACATTATATTCTGATGTTTTCATTCAGCCTATATATCAACATTTTTCATGTTGTCACTTACAAAATTGGTCATCATTTTTAGTGGTCACATAATAACCCATTGATGAAAACTATATCATACTTTCTTAGCGTTGTTACCCGATTGGGTGGTTTCCAGTTTTTCACCATGATCTAAATAATGCTCCAATGAGTATCTTCAGACATGACGTTTTCAGTGTATAAATAACCATAAGGTTATTTCTTTGTTAGCTTTCCCAAAGTGAAATTACTCTGTCACAGGACACATGCATTTTGCAATCAAATTGCTTTCCAGAAGGGATTCTGATTTCTGTTGATTGGAGTTTGAACTGGATTCTCCACGTGCATGAAGTTATTTTTGCACATAGATCATAGTGGCCCTTGGGGTCCCACACATGATAATACAGTGTCCCTAACAAGTTTAGGGGATGAGTCGGCCCTGCTCTGTGGCTGGGTAGGTTGAGAGGCAAAGCTCTCTGCATTTTGTTATTTGTAACGAATCATGAATGTCTGTTCCCATGAAAGGGCTTCAAACGATGATTTGTTTTCTGGGAAAGTTCTGAGTGATGATAGCTAAATATGAACTGCTAAAGGACATCCATTCTGAAAAGCAGAAAGAAAACTCTAGAATTTCACAAATTCTGATACTTGTAACAGATGTCTGGGAAATAATCAAAGCTTTATGTAAACCCTAGTGGCTGTCATTTTGGTTTGGGGGAAATGTTGGATGAAAACATGAATACACACACCTCTAAGCCGCAGGCCAATATCGAAGGCCTGGGGACAGTTTCTCTTTGATCACTGAGCATGCAATGGGATTATGTTTAATGAATGAAATTGATTCAGAAATACCTAAAGTAGAATTTTTAATAAGATGTTTCTTTAGCCAATCATATAATATCTCCTACAGACCTGTGATGGAATAAGAACACTGATTATACCACCATGAGAAGCAAGAAAGATCTTCATGATTCAGATGAAAATAATTTGGATTTTTATTAATAATTTATGTGAGCAACTAATTTTAATATACATTTGAAAAGACAGGAAATGGGAGGGTTTTGTTTAAACCCCTTTGTAATAAATCTTGTTGCCTAATGGTTTTGGACTTCGGGAAACTCCTCTAATGAGAAATGATCAGAACAAACCAGTTAGGACATCTCTTTAGGTTAGAATTATCACTAACAGTGGTAGCATTTCCAGACCTGTTTTTCTTGCAAAAATTAAGATGGTTTGCTAAATCTTATTTATTTACTGACTTATATTCATGTCTCTATCCTTTCCCCCTCAACCTAAACCTTTGCTCTTTTTAGATACAGCAACTTTGGCAACAGCTCTTACCACTCCTCGAGACCCCCATCTGGACCCAGTGTGCCCACCACCCCCACGTCGCTCTCACCCCCACAGGAGGCCAGGCTGGAAAGGTGAGTTCTGTGAGCTGATGGCTGTGATCCTCAAGTGAGGGGAACCAATTTGATTAAGAATAGTTTACGTAAAAATATAAATAAAATCCATAATGTGCAGTATTTTCCTTTATCGCATATAGTCCAAAGGCAAGAATATTTTCTCTGTTTCACACTATTTGCTAAGTATATATTTTATAGAGTTGATAGTTTATTGTTATTATGGTCTCATCCCTTGCACATTTTCCATAAAAAATATAAAATTATCTTCTAAAATATTTGTGTGAGTGTTTAGATTCATCCCTTAAAACCTGTTCGAGATTTCATGTGAGCTCTGTGATTTGTCTCATACACATCCGTTTTTACCTTTGAATGATTAAATCTATGTAAATGAGCAGGTAGTGAGCCCATTAAGGTGCTATGTAATTAATCCAGGACCTACCAGACGAGAAAAGAATTGTATGGGTACGTGGAAGGAATTCAACTTGGCAAGAGTATCAGACCACCAGAAATTAACTGATTATGACTCCTAGAAGCGAATGATTGTATAAGGATGTGTTTACAAGGGAAAGGTAAGACCTGTAATTTTAGAACAATTAGAAGCAGTTATCCTTACATGGCAAGAGTGCTGAGTTAGAGAAGACCAGTTAGGGTTCCAAGTCACTCACTTGGAAGTTAGTCAATCCCTGAGGGTAAAATGCCAGTTACGCCAGCCCTTACCTTAGAGGGTGGTTTTGATGAGCAAATGAAAAAGTCCACATAAGAGTGCTGTGTGAAGCCCTCCATGTGTGTCTGGCAGAAGATGATGGCATGTCATGAATCTAGACATGAGTGATTCACGGATGTCATTTGCCTTAAATCCCAAATGTAAAACAAACTAGACCTGTATTCCACATTCTTATCCTCTTCTGTGTATGCTGAAGTGTGTTTTGCTGAGCACTGCTGGAGATTGGAGATTTGGTCGGGTTGTAGGGCAGGCAAGACCTTAACCCCCGGGAGGAAGAGGTGTTCAATGTTGTTTGCCTAGCCACATGTCACTGCTCACTTCTAAGATGGTATGTAACTCCCATGGCATCAAACGCTCTGACTCCACAGGCCAGTGTGGCCCTAGGCTGGGCACACTAGGGCTAAGTTAGGTCTTAGTAACAAGGTAACCATTTGATTACCCTGAAGACACTCTCACCTGTCCATGGCCCAATCCTTGACCCTAGAGCACCTCCTCTTGGGATCAGATGAGGTTACCTGCAGTCCTGGAGAGGTCACCATAGAGATGACCCTTGTCATACGTGATGTAAGATTTGAGGCCAAAATGAGGAATATTGGAGTCTGACTGACATGACATTGTACATCTTATACCTGCCAGACTGCCAGCTCCTCAGGGACTAGAGCCAGGCTCTGTTCGTTGTTTTGTTCCCTATCTGGGACCTGACCATGGTAGAGCCATGGCAAATGCTGGTCGAAGAGTCGGGTCAATTAGCCATTCACTAGTTGGGAATAATTTGGAGATCCATGAAGTTGGGAAGTTACAAAGGCAGGAGGCCCAGGTAGTCCACGGGTTTACTAAAGCCCAGGGCTATGAGGATGTTTCTGGAAGGTCCAGGACTCAGGCTCCTGAAGGACTCCAGCCTGTGTCTCCCTCCCAGCTTGGACTGGCTGAAGCACCCCTGGGAAGGAGTAAACCTGGAAGGGTAGGGCTGCATCCCAGAGTGCCTTGAATGCCCTGGGGAGGAGGGTGGACTTTATCCTGAGACCATGGGGGCTGTTCAGGTTTGGAAGCAGAAAGTGACCAATTCTAAGTTGTCAGCAGTGTAGAACAAGCCAGCAGAGAGAGGCTACAGAAACGGGCTGCTGGGAAGCTGCAGCCGAGTCCGAGAGAGATGACCATGCCCAACAAGGGCGGTGCCTGTGGGGCTTGAGAGAGGGTCAGCAGGTTTGGCTGGACTTGGCTACTGCCTGGAACGAGTGAGGGTTCAGGCTTGTGCAAGTGTGTGGATATTAGAAACAAGGACCTGAGAGACGGTACTGGAAGAAAAGCAGATTTGGGGTGGGGATGTTCAGCCTGGGTCTGCAAGGTCTGAGGAGTCTGCATGACACCCAGGGAGATGTTCTGGAGGCCCTGGGGAGGTGCAAACTCAGCAGCCTTTGGCTCAAAAAAGGCCCTGGGATTAAATCCCTAGAGAGCCTGGCACTGAGACCCGGTCACTGGGGAACAGCATTGGCAGGAGTGACTTCTCTTCTAAGCTCCTTCCTCTTTTACAGTGGACTGTTGCCGTAGGGACTTGGTTATCTTTCCCATCTACCATATCCTCTGGCGAGTAAAGTAGCATCTAAGAGTTTAGCACTCCCTTCATGATTGCGTGTCTTTTCCACTGTCACCTTGTGTGGCTTTAAAAAACCATTGATGAATCATTGGAAATATAAGATGGGCATTTCATTAAGACCAGGAAGCCACTGGGTCTGGCTGTATTACCACTTTACTGTCACCTGGGTAGCTTAAGTTACATGAGTGGGGGAAAAAAAAGAACTAAGAAGACCCCCAACTCCAAATGACATTTGTGCACCATTGCCCAAGCATATTATGTCAGTTGCACCTATGATAATAGACATTTTTATACAGTTTCCTTTTTTTAAATTTTTGACAACTGAATTCTTTAGATATCACCCATAATCTAATTTCACATATATAAGTATTTTCTGCCCTATTAAGATATGTGATTATTTTTGCTAACATATATACTTCAGTGGAATTTGTAAGATTTATTGTTGAAATGTATTATATACCCACACATTATTAAAATCCAAAGGAAAACTCTTTTCTTAGGAAAGATATTGAACTATTGTAAGTAATAGTTGCATTTTGCAATAAGAGCTCACATCTTCTGCGAGCACACCCCTGCCTAATAAACATTGTGCCAGGATGCCGTGCAATGCTGGGGAGCTCTAGAACTCCAATCCCTTGATTTCAAAACAAGACTGACTTCTCTGAAGTCCTAGGTAAATCAGGCCAACTAAAACGTCCCTTCAGGGACCCCCGCCCACTTTGGAAATGCAACTGGCATCATCGTGAACTTGGAGTTTTCCATTTTTTTCTCAAGTATATCAGTGTGTTAGATGTTAATAAAACTTGGAATGATAAATTGACCTAGAAAGGAAGTGCTGAAGAAATAATATACAAAATTAAGGCGAGGGTATTAAAACTAATCCATCTCCACATCTCCTAGTGCAGCTTCCTTAATAGGGCTCTCTTAGAAGCAGAGAATGTAGCATTAATTTTCATGAAATTGGAACTTAAGTTGTGCCAAAACAAAACAAGAAAACCAGAACTGTTTGCAGAGGCCCTCAGGAATACAAGATGCAACTGTTCAGTGAAAGCAGACTTTTAAAATGCTTCCATTTTGAAAATGTACTTTGGAGCAGAGAATTTCTAAATATTTTCTTTTTGAAAGAAAACAAAACTACGGGAACGTTTGAACCATTCACGTTCAAGTATTCAAATGAAACAAGTAAATAAGCAAACAATGACCACACCATAAGCAAATTATGGCGCTGGGGCCTTGGGGAAGGCCAGGCCTCTCCTCCTTCCATCCCTGCAGTGACTTCTGCATCTTGTGGGCCTTCTCGGAAATGGCAGTTACTGAGTGAACGTGAGAGAACAGTAAGTCCAGGGCCTGGGGCTGACGGTGCTTTAAGGTGATCAGCCCTTGTGCTGGGATTAGGGAGTTCACGAGAATGAGACCTGGTCCTGCACTGTCAGGGCTCAGTGGGAGGATGTGAGAGGACCCTCAGGCCCAAATTTTAGGGGCCAGGGGAGGACTTCCCTATGGACATGCTCAACTAAAACCTAAAGGGTTTAGCCATGCACCTTAAGCATTGGTTCTGTTCTTCTTTCCACTTGTAGTAATGCCATTGTTTACTATGGGTGACAGTCACCTGCTTGTTCTACAGATTAATTTCAAGAGCCCTTAGAAGAGTTTGGGAATGGTCTTTCTCATAGGGTTGTCCCAACAGTTTTTCCTACTTCTTGTGAGATTATAAGCCCAGATATAAGTAATGACACCCACTCCCCAACCCCCGGGGAGGAATAATGGATAATAAGGAATGAATTTTGGTAAGAACACTTAACATGAGATCTACCCTCTTAGCAAATTTTTAGGTATACAATACCTTATTGTTAATTACAGGCAGTATGTTGTGTAGCAGCTCTCTGGAATTTACCTTGTGTAACTGTAACTTTATACTCACTGAACAGTAATTCCACATATCCCCCTTTCCTTAACCCCCTGGCAACCATCATTCTGTTGTCTACTGCTATAGTTTTGACTGTTTTAGATGCTTCATGTCAGAGGAAGCATACGGTGTTTGTCCTTCTGTGATTGGCTTATTTCACTTAGCATAATGTCTTCTAGGTCCATCCATGTTATCACACATGGGTAGGTTTTCCTTTTTTTTTTTAAAGCTGAACAATATTCCATCGTGTGTATATACCTCATTTCCTTTATTTGTTCATCTCTCGATGGGCATTTGGGTTGTTTCCATGTCTTGGCTCTCTAAAATAATGCTGCAGTGAACATATGTATAGTGCAGATATCTCTTTGAGATCCTGATTTCAAGTCTTTTGGCTATATACGCCCAGTAGAACTTCTGGATCATTAAAAAAAAAAAAAGAGGATGCAACTTTAAATTTTATTTTATTAATTGTTATATGGGCTTTACCTGTACCCAGTATAAATTTAAAAGGTATGAAGGCAGGGAAAGTGGAGTTCCCTCCTACTCAACTTATCCTCCCTAGAGGCAAAACTCCTACCAGGCCGGGCGTGGTGGCTCACGCCTGTAATCCTAGCACTCTGGGAGGCTGAGGTGGGTGGATTGTTTGAGCTCAGGAGTTCGAAACCAGCCTGAGCAAGAGCGAGACCCCGTCTCTACTAAAAATAGAAAGAAATTAATCAGACAACTAAAAATATACAGAAAAAAATTAGCCGGGCATGGTGGCACATGCCTGTAGTCCCAGCTACTCGGGAGGC